ATTTATGAAATATTTTTCTTTAACCTATAAACATCAAATTGCTTTCAAAACTCTCCTTTCTGTATACACCTTAACCCTTTCACCGCTGTTGGTGTCTATTGGTGTTTTGAAAATTTTCTTGCACTGTACTCTTATAGGCGCTTTGAAAATTTGCTCGCTCTGTATCCTTGGCGCCTTTTGACACACTTTCACCTTAATTTAGTCCTTCATTTTTGTCCTTTGCGCACTTGTACCTTAATTCGATCAAATTTAAAAACGACAAATTGTGAGGTAATGATTGAATATCTATCCTCTGTCACACGCGTTACGTACTAAAATCTGCCACAGTGAAAGAGTTAAAAAAGGATAATGAAAGGAAAAGAAAATGGATAGTTTCAAAGATTTCTTTTAAGCTTTTTAGATTTCTTTTAATTTTTTCTGTTTTCTTTTTACACGAATGTATACATTTTTTTCTACTATATGTCGCAGCAGACGTTGCATAAATCTTAAAACGACCTTGAACTCTAAAATTTTTAATCAAACTGTGAAACTTCCTTTCATTTTTTGCTATTTCTCTTATAATAGGTGGCTTGTTCTTCATAGCTCATCCTGTACGCTACAAGTATTACTTGCTCCAATAAGTTCACAGCGTCTACAAGCTAGCGTAATCAAAAATTGAGAAAACTTGTGTTTCCGCATTGCACTGTATAAATATTTTTCAAGCATACTTAGTCGACTGGCGACCACGATTACCACATTTGTCGCTGGAAGACGTGATTATTGGATTGAAAGTAGTCAAGCCTTGGGACGATAATTCTTTCGAGTTAATTCTTTAGATAAGCAAGACAGTTTCAATGCTTCTTTTTGATCAGTTCAAGCAAACACCGTTTGCAACAATTCCGAGAAAACGTTGATTGGTCTGATCCATTCATTATGAGTAATTTAAATTACTAATCCAACTGAGAATTTCCACGTGCACATGTTATGTGTATTACGTAGGTGTTTGCAAATGTTTGTTTTGCGAGATGTATAAGTACTTTGCACCTTGTGTGTTCTGAATTGAGCGCGCTTATCTGAATAGAGAACAGTCGTGAACGTTCCATTTTCTTTCATTCTTATATATATTATGTATATATTTTCTGTCAGTTTTTAGCCATGTTATCACAAAGTCGTACCAATTGCGAGTTAACCGACGCGAAAAGTCAGACAAACGTCGGCTGTTTTTCTTATTATCTTGAGAAAATATTGATACGATCTATATATTCGTAACAATTACTCAGATACACACGTAGTAGATATGTTTTATCACGTGCAACTGATTAATACGGAACATTGCTCTGTTAACACATTGAGGATAAGAGGTGTTCTCTTGCGAATCTTTCTTGCATACATTGAACACTTAGATGGCTCGATCGAGTTCAGATGATCCATCGATCCATTAGCAACTTTCCATTGAAAAAGTGAATTTCTATGTAAGTTGAAGCGTAATTAAAAAATTTGTTTCGCATCGATGGAAATAGAAGTAAACAGCGAGAAAACAAGGTCAGAAACGATAACACTTATCAGTATCGAAAATTCAATTTTTTATGGAAAGTTGCTAATTTAGTTACTAATTTGACCTAATTAGTAGTTATGATTAATTTGAAGTGATTATTATTAAATTACAAATTTGATTATTTAACCTTAGTTACTGATTGATTAAATTAATAATTTTACTTTAGGAAATAAATATAATTTAATAATAAAATCTAAAACAACAAATTAACGCTTTATTCCGAAATTGAGATTAATAAAGGTTAATTTTAGTGGCAGTAACACCGGTTAAACTGAATTTACAAGTTACTTTATGTAATAACTAATTCATATTAATTAATGAATAAAATTTACGTTAAACGTAAGTCATTAAAAGTAAAAAATGTGGCGGCCTTATATTCTTATTAGGGAAAATGTTTAAATTAACGATCCACCACAATTTAAGTGCTACTTTTTTCTTAATTTTCCTTTTGATGTTAATACATATTTTGGAAGGAATTTTTATTCTAAACATAGATTTTAATTTGTATTGTAAGCTGAAATGGTCGTTTGTAAAACTGTTTCCTTATTTATCACTAGCTATTTTTATCGTTTTAAAAAAGGCAGGGAATTAAGAGACGAGAAGAAATGGAATTACGCTATCAGAGTTTAGAACCTAAACTTTATAATTTAAGACTGGGTAGTGTAAGAGTAAAGAATTACAGGGGCTTAGAATAACTGATTTTTAAAATGACGTTGGTTCGCTGGTCGATGGTCGGGTACAATAATGTGTGGGCCGCTGCACTTTTTCCCGTTTTTATACGTTTCTTCGGCCTTTAGGGCCCGGCAAGCCGTAGAGTGGGGGGTGCAGCCTGCGCTGCTCCTTGTTTAGGGCCCCCTGCGGCTCGGGTCCCGCGGTCTCTGCCTAGGCGCGTCGCACTGCGTAGCTATGCTAGGTATTTATATCAATGCGAAATTTGTTTGTACTTAAGAAACGTTTCACTTATCTCTGCATTAACTTCTATCTCGTTATCTTAGTTCACTTATGCAGGAACGAGGCGAGACAGAATTTCGTTTGGTCCTTGATAAGATTATGTTGGAAACGTGTGCGTACATACGGACGCGTCTCGAAATTTTCTCTTGCACGTTTATTATACATATGCATTACTATCACGCGACTTAGTAACAAACGTATCTCTGACCGTATCAGTTTGTCGAATGTCATTTTTATCTTTAAATGAAGTTACCTATACACTGGTAGATTTTCGAATTTATAGGCATGAAATAACTATGCGTGCATTTCCATTCGTAAGTACTGGGGCACTTACCGAATGTGAAGCTAACTAGAATCTACTGGATTCTACTTGTGAGTTCTATCAAAATTTGCTGAAATGTACTCAGTTTTACTAAAATGTACCGAAATCTGCTGAATTCTATTCAAATCTACTAATTTTTACTAGTATCTATTGAGACCTACGGAAATTTGTTAAAATCTACTGAATTCTACTAAAATCTACTGTGCTCTACTAATATCTATTGAAATATTTGTAAATTTACGATCTAAACCTACTATCTACTGAAAATCTACTGAATTCTACTAACACCTACTGAAATCTACCGAATTCTACTAAAATCTATGAAATCTATTAAATTGTACTAAACTCTACTGAAATATAGTAAAATCTACTTACCGAATGTGAAGCAAACCTCGTTGTCATTGCAATTTTAATGCAAAATTATTTGACTCATAAAAGTGATTGCAAAATAATTAAAATCCGGAACGAAAATTATTCATTCTAGAATCTTGAAGTATAACGAGCATTATACACTACCGGCCCAAAGTTTGGAATCACCGCGCATTGCAAGTTACACAAAAATTTCCAGAAAAAAGTCAGCGACTTTGAAAATTTTTTAGCGAATTTTGTATCGTTCAAAACAATCGATATGAGATAAATTGCTATTTATCTCCACAATATCAACATCAAGTCTATAAAAAATTAGTAACAGATTCAGTGCTGATGAAAATTGGGAGGTGAATCCAAACTTTTGGCCGGTAGTGTATGTTTATTTTTACTAGTATTCGACATTAACTATGGCGAGGAAGTGTAATTCAAATCATGTAATACCTTCTACGCGAACGTAACGGATGTCCTAATACTTATGAACTTCATTTGCCAAGCGGGTTAATTCCACAAAACAAAAAGTAAAGAGAACTGATGAAATTATATATATCAAATATCAAGATTAATATTAATACTTTTTATACCGTTGCATTAAAAAATTACTTAGTTAAATTCTTACAAGCGTTTGAATTACATTATTACAACGGATTACTTTAGAGTATGGAGTTAATCACACTGGCTTCTGAAACCAGTTATTTATTATTCAACGGCCAAACGAATTTTTGTCATTTAGTGGTGTTGAGCCTAATTATCAAGGAAATTTATTTCTAATATAAAAAGATAAGCTTCAATCAAATGCTTTGGAACTAAAATTTGAAAAAATTCAAAAAGTAGAGCTAACCACTTTGGCCCGTGAACGGCTCATAGGTATAATACTTTCGTCAAGACTTTCTGAATCGATTTTCATTATTTGTAATTCGATTTGTCGTTAAATTTTAGAAAATTTCAGCTCTTTACATTAGAAGGAAGAGAAATATTCGCATATATATTTCAAATGTGTGGAAAAAGTTCACATATTGCTGGAAGCAATCATTGATAATTCGAAACATTTCACTTGATTCGAAATAACATATTTTATTCGATTAATTTCATTACTTAAATATATCCTTCTCTTAATGGAAGCATTGCGAGAGGAGAACTTGAACCGATTTTAATCTTAAACTACGTTGTACGTTACTATGTTGCAAGAAGATAGCTTCCAATCGAGAAAGATAGAAATTTGTCTCCGATAAAGGTTCGACGTGACTTCAGATAAGTGTTACACTCTTAAAAAAATATTCTCATAGAACAACACGTTTGTTACGTCGATCGTTTATCTCTGATTTTACATAGTTCTTGTTTCTAGGGTACAAAGTGTTTTACTATGAAGTAAATTTGCGAGCGCTACGTGATTAGATTGTTATTATCGTTTCACGATAAAATCATGTCCCACTGCAGAATTTTATGGAACATTTCAACATCTTATCTACACAATAACAACGATAAACTTGATAGTCATAGCTATTATGTAAATCTCGATGATAAATTTCAATAACTCCCTTATTTCGCGTCAGTTGAAATTGTATTCGAAATTAGATGCATTTCTTGTGACTTTCTAGGAATAACAATCAACAGCACCTAAAATTGACAAGTGTGACGAGTATGAAAGTATTTGTGACTCTTAGTTGTTGGCGTTACATACTTGGTTACATTTTTTTTAAGAAAAATATGAAAGAAAAATTCAGAGGAATATTGTTTGGGAATATAGTTTGGATTAGCTGTGCACGTGTAAATAAGTGATTCACCGCATTTAAAACCTGAGTATGTATGTATTCCTTTTTCTTGCAGGAAAAGACCTAACTCACCTTCAAGATGGGGGCGATGTTCAGGAGCGAGGAGATGGCGCTCTGTCAATTGTTCATTCAACCAGAGGCTGCCTACCTTTCCGTCTCCGAACTTGGAGAAACCGGTACGGTGCAGTTTCGTGATGTAAGTTAATTTATTTGAATCACACCGTAACCTTTGCCTATGTATATTCTCTTGCATCTGTGGACTTTGCGAATCGATGATTATTGGAAGGCGATACCGAAGGTGGAAAGACGTTGACCCCGTTAACTGAGTTCACCTCTCAAGTAAAAATTAAATCTCCCTAGTTTGCAAATAAGAATGAGTAAATATTGTAACATGTTGCTTTATTTTAGTCCTTGCAAATATGAATATGACGTATTTTATTTTTAGTACAGACGTAACAGTGCAATTGGAAATGAATAATCCCTTGATACAGGAACATTTGTGTTCTAAGTATTGGCCAACCAAGGACGAGGTAACTCGTCTTCCCCGGTTAACAGGTTAACGTTTCCATGAAACATTAGTCGTTTATGTGCGATAACTTCGAAATTGTCCAAGATATAGACACGTATGATACAGGCCACGATATAGCAAGGTTGTAAATTAAATCTCCGAAATGTGGGACCGAGTAACCCTTGTACGAAATTTGTAAAGTTACAGGAATCTGTAAAATTACAGGAATCTGTAAATTTGGGTAAAATGGATCCAATATCATATATTTACAGGGTGTGAGTACGAAAGATAAAACTCAGTTCATTTAATCATTACAGCTTAATATCGTAATAATTTATCGAACGTAGTTTTAATCTTATATTGAGATTAATATGAAATATTGTCGCTTGCCTGGCCGGTCCTCAAGCGAGGCGATAAAATGTCTTCCGTTCGGGTTCAATCACTTGGAGATATTGCACGAGCATGCCATAATTTAGAGTTGTCTCGTGGTTTATAGTAGACATCTAGGATTATTACGTTCGTTTAAAGGAAGGCTGTCTAAACTTTCTTCGAAATCTGAACTTTCTTCACCTACTTCTGTTCCTTTTACACAATCTTCTTCTACATCGGTCACATCGTCAAACATATCTTCACCTATAATACTATAAATTTTGTTGTTTATCGAATTACAAGTACTACTAGAAATAAAAATAGGTGTTGCAAATAAATACCGTTTGTTGGCACGCCATTGTAGAAAATCAAATTATATTTTAAAGCTGTTTCGTATGTAAAGAATAACGTGTTGCCCCAGTTTCTAGAAGACTCGAACTGAATTCGTGATGGTTATATGATGGTTGTACAATATTAAAAAAATATGCAACAGAAGAAGCATAATAAAAGATCTTCATAAATTCCATAAGTGTAGGTACATGAAAAATATAATTGGTTTCCATGAAAAAGATCGTACAAATTTTCTTCTTTTTTGCAAAGATTATTAACGTTTATTAGATATTTAAGGATATGAACAAATTTCAGTTCAAATGATACATTTAATAACAGAAGAAAAAGAATTGGTGACTTGATTTTGGGACAAATTGACCCAATTTCCGTACAAGGGGTAAATACATATGTCAAAAAGCTTGGCGCGGGGAATCCTGGAAGCGTCTGCATGGAGGGCAGCGGCGGGTGTTTTTATTGAATAGGAATTCCACACTTTCTCTAGGGAGATAAAAAATAATTATACCAAAAAATTAAAGCACCTGTTGCTTCCTGCTTAATAGTAATTTCCGTATTGGTGAAAATTAAACTTGAGTTCCATTGAGTTTCTCCCTCCAATTGCTGTTTCGGCACTCATTTTACGTGCATTTTGACGCCTGACTGTTTTTGCCTGACCTAACCTCACAATATCGATTCCACGGACTATACACCGCATTCCCTTTTTGGAATTTCGCGCAATAAAAGAACGACGACTTACGACTAACGGTATTTCATTTCCTAGTGGAAGATCTGCAGATGTTAATTACTATTTGGAATATCTGGAACTTTTTCTTGTGTCTGAATGACCATTAATGTTTTAAAAAACTCACTTAAACGGTAAAGCTAAATTTGCTAACAGGTTTCGAACATTTCTTCGTACGGCTGTTAGCCGAGGTTTCAGGTCCTTAACTGCTCAATATTTCTGTCAATTCGATTGCCTCGACGCTCAAAACGTATTTACTTTTACTCCTGACTGAATTTTACGACTTCGCTATATCGTAACCCGTACTTGCAACGCAGTGACAGTCGGTGGAACTAATTTTATGCATGCGAAGCTTACACACGATCCTCCAATAACGCATCGCTGATCGTGAATCACGTTGTTTTTTTGAATTTATGCTGTCAGGCGTTCAAGAGAAGTACGATCGACAGATTGACTCGAGGATTTACGGATGAAATTGAATTCCAGCAGAATGAGACAAAGATTTGTGTGTATACGGTGACCGAAAAGTGCAATCAGTCTTTGTTTAATCGTGGTTTTATTTGTTATTGGTTCCTTCATAGCTCAATCAGGATGTGAATTACTTTCAACGAAAGTTTGTCAACGAGGTGCGCCGATGCGATGAAATGGAAAGAAAGCTTAGGTACATTGAGGCTGAAGTGAGGAAGGACGAGGTGCCCATAAATGACAATCTCAGGGAACTACCACGGGCACCAAATCCACGTACCATTATAGATCTTGAGGTAATACATACTTTCCCTTTCTTTTCATTTTTTAATAGTTTATTCTTTGCTCTCGCTGTTTCAACGTCTTTTGCAAAATAATTGACTTTCTGAAGAAAATATTAGGTCGTCCCATAAGTTCCTGCCGAATTTTGTAGTTTAGATCAATATTTAAAATAAACCTTTAAATTTCATTAAAAAAAAAAAAAAAACGTAAGTTCCTTCTTATTACACAAATTTTTTTAATTTCTTTTTCGGTAGGACCATAAATGTCATCGCTGTAGTATTTCCTTGGATTTTTTTATAGGATGATCTAATGTTACGTGCTTTATGTTTTCAATATTATTGTGAAATTTCTTTTCCATTTTTGTTCGTTCTTTACGAGCAGCTATACAGTGTGCCCTTCGGTGGATGAACAGAAACTGAAGAATTAACCTAGAAACATGTTTAATTTTGTCGCGTCTAAAGCAATTTTCATCTTATTAGCCATACAGAAATGATATTTCTCTGTTTTTAGGGGGAAAAATGTGGATCACAGTAGTCGTTGTTCTGAATCAAACAACTTTGTCCTGACAAATTTTTTGTATCGGCAAAAGTAAGGAAGATATTAAGGGGGAATTCCCATTTTGAAGCACGAATACTAGATAGATTTCAAAACTTTTTTCAATAGAAGAAAGTACCATATAAACTTGTTGTTTTTAGGATACATTTATTGATATGTAATAATAACATATTTTTCTGAAATTTGGATATAAAAAAAATGTCAACATTTCAAAGTATCTTATATTGTATTGGGTTAGATAAAATTCTCCGTCCTTTGTGTTCATCTGAAATAAAAAAGACCGGGTATTTTTATAATCAGGAAGGTTGTCACTATAGCATGAACTAGAATTATTAAAAAAATCTGAAAAAAAAAATAAATTTCCATGAATTTTACGGTGGAAGATAATCGAAACACACTGTATATCGCTGTGTATAAAGGAGTGAATTTAAGACGTTCGTGTTATTTTCAAATTACTCAAAGTTATTATCCTTAATTGCGAGATTTTGTTACAACGTTGCTTCAAGCAGTTACGAATTCGATAATCCAGAAAAATTTCATCAACGTAAGTCTAACCAAAAAACTGTCACTTGCCATTGTAGGCTCATCTCGAGAAAACGGAGAACGACATATTAGAGCTGAGCCAAAACGCGGTGAACCTGAAGAGTAACTATCTCGAGTTGACGGAATTACAGCATGTGCTCGAGAAGACCCAAGTGTTTTTCACGGAGGTAGCTAAAGTAGTTCAGCAGCTTTTGCTCATAGCGTCGTCCTCCTTCGTGTAATTGATGTTACCGTTCTGTCGAAGAATCAAGATTCGTATTTTCTTCTATATCAACAGGAAGAGGCCAATGACTCGATCACCAGGACGTTAATTAACGAGGAAGCACAGAATCCAAGCGCGACGAAGCGGGGACGTCTCGAGTATGTTTCACAACTAATAATATAATTATCAGCATTTAGATTTACTTTGGGATAGAATATTTTTCTCTCAAATATAAGATAGAATTAAAAGTAGCATCATTTTCGGAACTTCCCCGTAGAGTATTCTTACACGCTATGCGAATAAATGATTTTTTATTTGGAGTATTTCAATATTTACTTTTGTTATAGTTAATGCTTTTCAAGCTGCGTCTACGCTATATAACAAAACAGTGTTCTTGCAACTTGTTACAAGATTATACCTTTTGGTATTATTCTCATTATTATTGCGAACTGTTTGCGCACATTTCTGGCCGGTGTGGACTTGGCGCTACGGTAATAAATTCGCATCAAGTTTGTATTTCTTCCGTTTTTCAACTCTCACTGAAATTGTCCAATTAACAGTAGAATTTTTCTTTTCAATGTCGGTTGAATTCATCTTAGTATCAAGGCCAGATTCAAACCAAGCATCATGCTTCTTATTTCTGTCTTTGAAGGCCATAGACGTAGGGTTCCATAAGACACGATTCTTCCGGAACGATTTAATCAAACGAGCGGTGCTTTCTTTCGTCCATTCCATTTTATAATTGTAAAAAAACGATACCAAAAAATAGATAAACGTTTTCTGGTCAAAGGTAAGTAACAGCTAGACTTAAATGACGAACTGCTTGCGTACGGTAGATGGCGAATGTTTTGTAACCGTATCACACTGGTTTGAACCGACTGACCTGTCATGCAACAATATTTTATAACTATCTCTGATCTTTACGCATGTGTAGTACATACTTTCTTTCCAATGCAAGAATATAGGTATTTGAAAACAGCAGTAGCGCACCCAGGGGCCAAGGGGCCCTGGCACTCCCCAAAGAAAAAACAAACGGTAGAAATTTTTCCGAAAATCTTTTCTTACTTAAAATTCATTTTTCTTTTTTATTTATGTCGTGTCGTGTCTTCTATTTCTGTACTACTTGTGAATTAAAAATATTTTTGTCCGTTCAACTCGGCTCCTCCCAAGATTAAATTCTGAGCGCGCTATTGAAAAAAGGTAACGAAAAATTGGACTACTTCACGTTACGGTGAAATAGAAGTGTTTTAGTTGAAAGGTACGATGCATTAGACAAATTAATTGCTAATAGCTAATCAGTCGATACGGTGCAATGACAATAAAAAAATTTATCAGGTTGTTTCTTATTTTAAGTACAAATTTTTTCTTTCAATGTAAGATACAAATATCTTTTTCGACTCGTGAGATATATTTTTCTACAGTCGAGTTAGGTAACGAAGAAGAAAACCAAATAAGTATAAAAAAATCAGTAGGAATTGTTTAAATCATGCGGGAATTATATTTTGCAAAATTTTCCGTTACAAGTGTAATTCATCGAATTTACTGTTTTAATTTCTTATCTTACTCGAAACAATTTTTTTTTGTAGATTTGTTGCTGGGGTAATAAACCGAGAACGAGTGCCAGCTTTTGAGAGAATGCTGTGGCGAATATCCCGTGGAAACGTATTTTTACGTCAAGCTGAACTTGACAAACCATTAGAAGATCCATCTACTGTTAGTCTATATATTACACTTTTTTCTTCCTGAAAGATCATTTAATTTACGTACACATTTTATCGGTAGAATTATTCTTTTTATCCCGGCATTCATTTTTGTTTTTATCGCAGCATTAACTAATTCCACTAATGCATTTTTCTTGTGTCCATTTTTATCATTCAGGTTTAATCCTAAACTCAATATTTGATTTGTCACATTAACGCCACTATTACCATTATCATTTATCAGTATTTATCCAAAGAGTATAAAGGAAGAAATCGTAAAAATAAATTTTGTTTCCAGTAAATAAACGTGGAAAAAATTATAACGCATGAGGAAGTATTTAGTTTATCAAATGGATTTAACTGTGATAATTTATGGAAGAAATGGAAAATTATTTTTAATTTTTAATCGTTTCATGAATTAAAGTTCAAAAAGTTGCATGAATTAAAAAAAACTAAGCTCTACGCTGTCCATCATATTCGCCAGACTTTCCGTCCTATTGGTTACGTCCTTTTTCGACATCTGGACAATTTTTTAAAGGGCAAAATATTTCTAAACCTAGAAACAGTAGAAAATGCGTTCTCTGATTTTGATGGCAAAAGTGTGTCAATTCCAATGGCACATATTTCGATTAATAAATTTACTCTGATGAAAAGTAATAGCATATTTATTTTAATTGAAAAAAAAAACGAACATTTCATATGTTACGACATAATATAAGGAACATTTATCACGCGTTGTTGTTATTTCTTTTTGGGCATAAAATTGAAATAATTTGGATGCTATAATGTAAAATTATAATAGAAGAATTAAATATTAATTAAACATAGAATTAGTAGCAATAGAAGTACTAACCCTTGAATTTTGCTTAGAAATGTTGAATGCTAGTTATATGTATATAATGCAAGTAAAGACGTAGATTTTTAGGTAACAAATTTGCTACGTTTTGTCATGGCACGAATTTATCTCATTCAGTTTACATATTCATCAACTTACGATTACTCATTCACTTTAATACTCAGTGCAACTTCGTTACGAGGCCTCAAAAGAATGTCTATTTCAGTTAACCAAATTCATACACATTTTTTTTAAGTTTATTGAAAATAAATGTCGACATTTCCATAATAAATCATTTCAATAAAATGAAAATAACACAACACTGGTATACATATATTTGCATTATAAAGCGGCCTTTTATTTTTATATCATGAATTTAATATTTAAAAATAAGTATTTTATTTTGCAACTATAATTAGGCTGTTTTTTATATTGTTGCTTGTGAGGAGTATGATTTTAAAATGAGGCTCCATAGAGAGTGAGGCCCCAGCTTGCACCTAATGCGCCTTATAGTAAATGCGGCCCTGTTAATACTAATTCATCAAACCGTACTTACCGGTCAAACGATCACACATTTTATTTTCCATTTTTATGTCCTTGATTTATCAATCGACGTTCAGAAGAATATACATACGTACGTTTTGTTCGGGCGAATTGTTTCAGGGTAACAAAATGTACAAAACGGCTTTCGTCGCATTTTTCCAAGGAGAACAATTGAAGAGCCGCATCAAGAAAGTTTGTAGCGGTTTTCATGCATCTTTATACCCTTGTCCACACAGCCACGCCGAACGTGGAGAAATGGTCAAAGGGGTTCGCACCAGATTGGAAGACTTGAACTTGGTGAGTATTGCACATACATACGTGAGAACTGTGGAACATGTTCACGTATAGTTGATGGAAGCGATACAGTGAGATCGTAAATTAAAGCATTAAGTAGCAACTCTGAGCGTCGAATGCGGCGTTTTTCGTTTTTCGATTAGAACTGGATCAAAGTTGAAGGATACTTAACTGAGGTTTCGGGTTTCTGTCTATTCTCTTGTCGATACGTTGAAACGTGTAAACTTCGACGCCTGATCGATTTTACGATCTCGTTATATTTCTTCAGTCGACTATACAAAGCTGTCTAACTTCCGTCAGTTCTTCGCGACTACGTTAACTCCCCAAAACACTTCAGGAGGGGCATAGTTCGTTTGGCGAAAACATCTACAGTCCGTCCAACAAGTCGAGAGGACAAGAGCGTATTTACAACCTTCAGATACTATAACACTAGACCTGAGAAGTCGAAGCAAGCCCTAACAATGATCCACGTAAATCCACTCCTGAACTCTCCGTTCGCCAGCCAATAGCTGGAGTCCTTTGCATCTGTCACGTGCTTAGCATGCGAATGTTTTCTTTTGCCTCTACTGACTCGATTCCTTGGACGGACTGTACCGCTTTGTAGCCTCTAATGCAGGGGCTTTCAACCTTCTATGCTTCACGTATTCCCTGGAAATGTGTATACAACTGGCGTACCCTTTGTATATATTATTGGAAATGGGTGATTAAAATAAAAGTTTTTTTTTTATATATCGAATTTACTTTTATTAACAAGGCTCGGAAAGAACGTCTTTTCTATACGAATAGCTCTTAGGAACTGTTGCTGGACTCCTAAAAAGAGAAAACTGGGGTCCGCTTATACCTACGAACTGTTTATGCTATTGTGTTGCAATGTAGAGTGTCTTGACTCTAAGACGAATTCCAGACACATTTGGTGGTCCTCTTTGTTTAAAAAAAAAAAAAAACGTCGAGACATTTTTGTTCTCAGGTGATATATTTTATTTAGTGTCCTTAGAAATAATCGAACATATATAGATCGAACTATATAGTATAACATTGGCATTTTGTTACTAGATCTAGCAACTTTTGAATTCTGGCGTATCCCCAAAAGTTTTACCGCGTAGCCCACGTTGAGAACCCCTGCTCCAGTGATCTGGTTTGAACTCTCCGCTATACTAGCCAGTCGTGTTTGATGTGCCGCTTTCTTTTTAGGAAGAAATCGAAGCCGCTAACACACGCTTCAAAATTTAGTTATAAAATCGTAGCTTAGTATCTTGTCGACTTGTAAAAGGAAGTCGTTTCATACTTATACGACAAAGATGCGCGACGTATAGTCGATGGAAGCGATATTTTGGCATCTTTTCCTTCTTTCATTTCGTAGGTTTTAAATCAAACGCAAGATCATCGTCAACGTGTGTTGCACTACGTGGCCAAAGAGTTGCCTAATTGGACAATTATGGTTCGAAAAATGAAGGCAATATATCATACGATGAATCTGTTCAACATGGACGTAACGAAAAAGTGCCTTATAGGAGAATGTTGGGTTCCCGTACAGGATCTCTCCATCGTTCGAAATTGTCTCATCGAAGGATCGGTTGGTTTTCACATTGTACTCCTTATGATACGTGACTACAGTATATTCTCCACAAGTGTCAGACCGCAAGGAAGCTAAACCTGACACTCGTAGAGTCAGGGACTATGTGTTCGAGCCTCGCGCCCGCCTTTGTAGTTTGCCGAACGTAGACAAGGACAGCGAATAAAAGATAAGCATGAAACGACCAAGTGATTTAAATATCAACTTTTTTAATTTTAAGTTTTTTATCCCGAAATTTTTCTTAACATATTGATGAGATTTTTCTGATGAAAATGACA